GCTTTTGTCTCATTTACTAGGAGAAGTATATTGAAGTCTCCTATAATAATTATTGACTTATCTATTTCTTTTTATAATTCAGTTTTAGTTTAAATATGTTGAGACTATGTTAATGATGCATACAAATAAAAAAGTTTTCTATCTTCCAGATGAATTGAACTTTTTCCCATTATGAAATGATTGTTTTTATATCTAATGTTTCTCACCCTCTTTGACTACTTTGCCTTGTTTGGTTTTAATAAGCCTACATCAGCTTTCTTTTGGTTAGTATTTGCTATGTATCTTACTCCATCCTTTTACTCTCTATCCCTGTATTTAAGGTATATCTCTTATAAGCAAAATATAATTGTGTGGTTTTTTTTTAATCCTAACAATCTTTGTCTTTTAATTGGATTATATAGTCCATTTACATTCAGTGTAATTACTTTTTGCTCTATCTGTGGTCACGTCTTCAGTTGACCTCTTTTTGACTGGTTGTTTTTTTCCCTCTCTATTCACTTGGTAGTTAGATGCTTTATTCTTTATTATTTTCATGGCAACCCCAGTGGCATTTTTTCTTATCAAAGTCAGATGCGACTTGGCACTTTATTTTCATCTCAGACTATGAAAGAACTTTGGAACACTATATAATTCTAATGTATAATTTCTGTTTGTCCCACTTGTTTTCATAGGATGTTATAAATCACAGTCAGTGGTAGAATAATTACAGTCTCCATGCAAGACATTAATTAGAACTGTGGTACTACCACTGGCTAAGTCAGAAGCTAGGCATCTGGAGGAATATTGGATGAAATGCTTACCCGATCGTTTTTTGTTTTTTTTGTTTTTGTTTTTGTTTTGCATTGTTCCTCTATGCATGCTGTTACTGGTATAGTACTGACACTGACCAGAGGAGAACACCTCTGACTGCATCTAGGGACTGTGAGTGGGCAGCTACTGAGGGCTATTCTTAGAGGCGGGCAAAGCCTTTCAAGTTTAGTCACATGTTCATGGTTGCTAATCTGCCTCTGTACTAATTCAGTACTGGTGACTCTAATCTGTAGGATACACACTTGTGTATTTAACATATCCCATCTGCGTGTAGTTTCCTTTTGCTTCCATCATATTTTCTCCTTATCACATTTGATATTTTGAGAATTGTCAGAAAAAAATGTACCCTTTTTCTAACTACATTTTTGGTCAGATTTACTTTAATTCATAGCGTGTAACTTTAGGTCCACAATAGGTTGGCTTCCACCTTGTCATTTTTTGTCTGATTCCACTTGAAATAACATGGAGGAAGTAATGTGTAACTCAGTCAATGCTCTGTGCTTTCTGGAAATAGAGTATTCTGATTATCCATGATTGAATATAAATGGAAATATGTATGCCTACACATTTAGCACCTGTTCTATGCTGCTCATGTCCATTAATACTCTCCATTTGGTTTGTCTAAATTTATACCATGAATTGATGAAGAATTATCTAGTAGAAAATATATTAATAGTCCAATGACTAATCTATACTTCAAATGAAAACTTTCTATGTGTTCTTATCAGTAATACTCTCTAATTTTATTTAACTGGTTAAAAGTCCATTCTGATTATTGACGAAATTCATATCTTTATATAGTATTGTCCAAATTTTTGGACATGTTTGTTCATAGCTCCTAAAATTGGAGTGATATCACTGTCAGCTATTTGTATGAATTTTAGGGAAAAACTGATGGTAGACATTGACTTTTAGCAATGTCAAGTTCATGATTTTGAAATATGTATATATTTAAATTACTTTAATATTGCCATTTAAGAATGTAATTTACTCAGACTGAGTCATATTACTGTACTTACTACGTGTTTCTTCCCAGAATGTTTACTCAGAACCTAAAAGGGAAAAAGGAAATGGTTGATCCAGTACATACAGTGCTATGATTTCTGAGACCAGCACATTGGTTCCTGTTTGGGTGTGTATTTAGTTCTGCTCCGTTAGAATCTGGGCTGTGCTCCACCCTCTCCTTGAAAAAAATTTTTTTCTTCTCAAATGTAATTTATGAAAAATTAGGTTACAGGGCTAGGAGTAAATAAACGTGTGTGATGCCACATTTTAGACATAAAGTAACACTTGCTGTATTTAAGAATAAACTTCTGTAGAGTGAACATAAAGGCTGTTTTCATTTTCTGCTTCAAGATACACTTTTGGCAGCTCCCAAAATCACAGTAAAGATGTTTTCTAATCCTTCTTTTGACCAAGGACTGCTGCTGCCATAAAGTCAGCATTTAAATTCCACGAACTGTGAGGGACAGGAATAACAAGGATAAGGTCAGGTGTTCCGTTCCTGCCCACAGAGTGAATGGGCTGTTTCAGTGAGCCTTTCCACCAAGCCGCCTGAAGGGAGAAAACCGCCCCGCGCGGGAGGGGCCTCAGGGCCTGAGCACCAGGTTGGGCAGTGCTGCCTTTCACCCAAGAGCCGAGAGAGCCGCACTAGCACATGCTTTTGTTTTGGCAACATGCTTCCCAGAGATCCACATTATACAAGGTTGTAGTGATAAAGTTCATGATGGTTTGGGAGGAAAAATGAGTGCCTTGAATGTAGCCTGAATCACTGTGATTTAAGCACAATTATTTTTAGACTTTTTTTAAGAAGTAGATCTGACTTGCCAAGAATGGAGTGCTTAATTTTCAAGTAATTGAAGTGGAGATTTTGTTGCTGTTGTTTTTCATCTCCAGCCAGGAGTTATTTATGGATTTAAAATGGATGTGAAAGTAACTCAGACTATTTCAGTATCTGAAATCACTAAATGATAAAATGATGTATTAATATAATTATATTCTTGGTCATGTGAAGGCTTCCTTTGTGAAGAACTCTGATTTGTTTCATGTTGAGCTTTAGGAGAACTTAATTATGGGAGAAATGAAGTCGGTGTCATTCAGGATGGAGAGTGGGTATCTTAATACCTTGGTGTGGTGGGGTGAATGCTGGGGATGTGCACGCCCTCACTCTCAGGTTTATGCAGCGGGCTGTTCTGTTAGACGTTCCTAGAACCACAGGCCGCTTAGGGACTTATAGGTTATGTACCTATAACCTAATGAGGAGACTCTCTGCCCCCATCATGCCATGGTTATTTTAAGCAGCGTTGTTCACAGTGGGCTTCGTGCTGAGGAGTTGGTTTATCTGGGACGCCATGGGGACTGGGGAAATGACCTGGTACAGTTGATTTTGAGGGATCCGTGGCATCCCTGAGGAAGAGGGTCTGGAAGAGAACAATCTGGGAGTCAAGAGAAATGATAAGAGCTCGAGGGGCAAGACCTAAGAGGTGCAAGTGGTGGGTTTGAATGTCCAAGTGGTGGGGGACAGACTAGGGAGCCTCTTTCCCCACCCCTCATGGGACAAATGATTGGGCTCACAGAGACTTCAGAAGCCATTCCCACATACATTCTCTCCCAGGCAGGGAAGGGCCGGCACATTTGTTGCTCAAGGAAGCAGGATGAGTAAGGGGCGTGATTTCACCCTAGAGGCTGGCGCAGGTGATGACACACATGCACAAGGGAATGAGTCTTTGTTTTTGAGTGTGACATATGGGTGAAGTGTCAACCCCAAGTGACCGGCTGTGAGCTGGCAGCCAACAGCTGGGATTGGAGAATATGGGGTAAATTCACTTTTAGACATGTTGAATGTGAGGTACCTAATGAGACATCCAGGTGGACATGTTCAGGAAGAGGCTGAATTTCTTAGTCTGAAGATGGGGTAGGGGGACGAGACTGGCCATTGAGAGTCCATGTGTCCTTTTTTTTTTTTTTTTAAGATTTTTATTTATTTATTTGACAGATAGCGAGACAAGAAACACAAGCAGGGGGAGTGGGAGAGGGAGAAACAGGCTTCCCGATGAGCAGGGAGCCCAATATGAGGCTCGATCCCAGGAACCTGGGATCATGACCTGAGTCTAAAGCAGACACTTAACAACTGAGCCACCCAGGCGCCCCGAGAGTCACATGTCTTGACTCTTTCTAAAACGGAGCACCATAGTATCATCTGTGTAAAGGTGATAGCTGAAGTCACAGTCTAGTTGGTATTCTTTCTCTTTCCCTGTACCTACCACAGTCTTAATTTTAATTCTTCATCTGGAGCATTTCAGTTTACCCAAGGAATTCCTACCAAACTGTGGGAGGATCTACCCAACACATTTTGTTACACATATGGTCTGGTGATTGTTCCAAATGATGCTGTTTGAACACATATGGTCTGGTGGTTGTTCCAATATGATACTATTTTTTCCAGTTCTTAGTTATCAGACCCATTTGGTTCCTATAGATAAGTGAACAGGGAGAGGCTCTTGTTCACCTTTATCAGAGTTTAGGAGCAGAGATGCATCACACTGTCTCAAACTGCAAGAGATGTACTTTGGAAATCAAATGGTTGTCTTGCTCCTTTTGGAGTAAAGCTCAATTCTGGAACATTCTCCATATGACTGTACTTGTTTCAAAGAATTGATATAGTCCCTGGAGATATGAGGCAGAGCACTGTCCTTGCTGCATTTTCCCATGGTATTAATATTTTCCAAAATGATATAAGAACTAATACGAGAAAAAATAACCTTTATCTTTTATGCCTGACATATAATCAGATTACTCTGGGGATTAGATAAAAATAAGTCATTTGTTCCTATAGTTAGTTACTATAATGACCATGATAATCTTGTATAAGAGAATTTAAAAATTAAATCAGATAAATAGATTCAGCTTAGGGAATGAGAAAATATAGAAAGCATGATATGAATTTGAAGACAAAGTTGGCATTCTTTGGATGAACGGTGTTGTAGAGTAAGTTTGCTAGGTCCTGGGTCCCTCTGGCATCAGCCCAACCACGGGCATGCAGTTGGTACTTCTTACATGCCAGGGCCTGATGCTTCCAGGCACCGGAGGCCAGCAGTAGATTGTGCTTCATTCCATTATTTTACTTTGTTTAATATCTTTACAAAATGCACACAGTGACTTTTCCCCTTAACATGTGGTTTTCTTCACAGGCCATGTTCTCATAGAGATTTCAAGTACCCACAAGAAACTCAATGAGAGTCTTGATGAAAATGTATGTAAACTATTTTTATACTTATAAAATAAAATATATTTAATTTCTAAATTATGTTGCTTAATGTCTCAAATCTGGTGTGACTTTTTAATTGCTTTTGTTAACAGTTCAAAAAATTCCATAAAGAAATTATACATGAGCTGGAGAAGAAGATAGAACTTGATGTAAAATACATGAATGTGAGTACATGGTTTTTTCCACCTCCATGTTTGGAGGTGGGTATGGATCATGGGGGCCTGGCGTTCTGGAAGGCTGGGCCCGCCTGATCTCTGAGCCGGAGGAGAACTTTCTCTCACTGTTTATCCAGCAGCAGAAAACATGGACAGAGCTTAGTGTTGAGTATATACCCAGAAGGCATGAAACTGACAAGGTCCCTTGGAGCTGGGTGCCCTGTTTGCTTTAACACCTGGGATCTTTATTAAAAAGCAGAGAGGAAAATATTGCAAGGAATCCTCCTGCTTCTAGAAAGCATTGTTTTCAAAGAACACGAGTATAGGGACAACATCTGCATCTGTATTAGTGTAGCTGCAGCTGTTGCTTTCACAAACCAGCACTTCAGGTTGCGGGATGTGGGTGGGAGAACACCATCTAGGGCTCCCCGAGGCTCCCAGGTCCATTCAGCAGAGACTGCTCCTGTGTGGTGTCCCTTGCCTATCACCAGGTATTGATGACTCCAGCTGTTTTCTTCTTCTGCCTGACCCTCCAGCCGTGTCACATGGCTCTTTCCATCTCTCTTATCTGCTATAGAATAGCTGCTTTCTTTGCCATTCAGAGTCCCCTTCTCATCAAGACTCCCATGCAGCAGTAAGCAGCGTAGTTACCCCGAAATCACCCCACTGCCCCTGTGTGCCTGTGCTCTGTGTACTCTGGAGGAAGGTGGCAGGATAGGCGACAGCGGCTGAGGGGGATGTAATGGCAGGCATTTTCCATACATTATCAGATTTTTATCCCTACAGAAATGCCATAATGTAGCCATTCTTATCCTCACTATACAGATTAAAGGGAAAACATGAACTTTAGAGAAATAAATAGTTGCTGAGATCACACAGGAAGTGAAGGATTTCACCAGAATTCTAACCCAGGTCTGTGAAGCTCCAAAAACACCTTGCTACACAGCACCCACGATAATCTGAAGTGCTTGCACTTGTTCATTCTGTTTTTTAAAATTGTAAATCATAAAACAGAAGCATGTGACTTAATATTGTTTTTTTAATTCATCAAAGCACTTAACGTTCAGTGTCCTAAAAAATTTGAGAAAACAAGGAATAAAAGAAAAGACGTTCTTTTCTTCTAAGAGCTCCCCTTGGGGTCAGTGGCCCCTTGTATGAACAGGGGACTTTAGGTCAGACAAAGCTACATGCTGACGGGAGGGAGCGGTATGAGGTGAGGGCGTGCAGGGCGACGCCCAGTGGAAATGTCAGCCTCTGTAACTGCCCAGCAGCTGCGGTGGTGCTGCACTCAAATCAGCACAACGTTTAACTTACAGGCAACTCTCAAAAGATACCAAACGGAACACAGGAATAAATTAGACTCTCTGGAGAAGTCTCAAGCAGAGTTGAAGAAGATCAGAAGGAAAAGTCAAGGAGGACGAAATGCACTCAAATACGAACACAAAGAAATTGAGGTGATCTCTTCAGCACTATTTTATTTTGTTGACAATTTGTACAATATACAGGGATGCTTACTTAGCTCAGTCGGCTTATATTTCATCCACTCACAGCTGTGCTGCTGTTGAAGTTAAAAATGAGCATATTTTACTTGGTCTGAGCTGAAGGCTACAGAGTTTTCCAGAGTTAATAATTAGCCTCCTAAAAACATTGGCATTTTCGGGGGCGCCTGGGTGGCTCAGCGGGTTAAAGCCTCTGCCTTCGGCTCGGGTCATGATCCCAGGGTCCTGGGATCGTGTCCCACATCGGGCTCTCTGCTCAGCAGGGAGCCTGCTTCCTTCTCTCTCTCTGCCTTCCTCTCTGCCTACTTGTGATCTCTGTCAAATAAATAAATAAAATCTTTAAAAAAAAAAAAAAAAAAAAAAAACATTGGCATTTTCTCCTGATTTGGGGGCGGTGGGGGGGAGGTGTTGGTAAGAGATGTGCCATGATTAGCATTACTCTCCCCATGTTACAGATGAAGAAAATGGGGCTTAGGCCAAGTCATGTGGTTGTTACTTAGAACTAGGGATTAAATTTGAACTTTCTGGTTTCAAAGTCCTTGATTTTCCAATAGAACACAATCTTATCCCTGAAGTATGAAGTAATATTTTGTGCAGATTGCCCAGCGCAGAATGTAAGGCCTTTGGCAACGTCCTTCCACACATGAGTCAGGAATCTTAATGAGAATGGTGATACCTGCTCAGGTCAGGTTACAACTTTGTTATTTTATCTCATGTTTATCTGCATTTAGTGTTTACTCCATTTCAAAATAAACCAAGTGTAAAGATGGCACAAGATAAATGTCTGGCTGTTCAGCTATTTGATTCCTCATGACATACTTGTATAATTATTATTTATTTTCCTAGTATGTAGAAACCGTTACGTCTCGCCAGAGCGAAATCCAGAAATTTATTGCAGATGGTTGCAAAGAAGCTCTACTTGAAGAGAAAAGGCGCTTCTGCTTTCTGGTCGACAAACACTGTAGCTTTGCAAATCACTTACATTATTATCATTTACAGGTGGGTTTGTGACAGCAAGTTTTGTTGCATTATTAATAATTTAATTTCGTATTCAAACGCCCTTGGGATGCTTCACTTTCCACATGTGTCTCAATGTAAAGCGGTGGGCCTAGTTTGCCGATGAGAAGAGATGCCAAAAAAAAAAAGACCTCTTGGCCCATATGGTTATGTAAACTTTCAGAAATGTGGATGAAATGATTAAATATTGTTTATAAGATTAATTTGGTAGTATGTGTTTAGAATCTTTCATAAAATAATGCTTAATAATCGAGAATTAGTACTTTTTTCTTTTCTCACCTACGAGTCCGCTTTTCTCAGACTCTTTCTAATGCATCCTCAGCTCAGTGCTTCACCAGAGCCATGGGAGGAGGCCCAGGCCCAGGCCCACCCCACCTGGGTAGTTTGAGTGTCTGCCTTGGGCGTCCATGCACAGAGGTGTCCCTGGAAGTTCTGTCCCAGCTGCAGACCCACTCACAGCATCAGGACAGTTGTGGTTCCTTTTTCATTCCTCTTTAAGGTGTTTCCTCGTGATCTCATCACCTGTGGAACTGGCTTTACTGCCCTCCTTCGAGCACACGTGGTTGTGAGGTTTTACCCCCAGGAATCATTACAAGATACATGTTACTTTCCTTCCGTTTTTTTTTTATTATTATAAATTTTATTAGGCCTGTATAAGCATCTAAAACTAGCATTGAGTGAAGTCAAATATTCATTGTTATTTATAATAATTGAGGGAGTACTCCATGGTAGAAGCTTCCTAAGAGCTTGAAAATAAGGCAGCTTCCTCTTTTTCAGGGGAAAAAAACTTGGCCTTGTGTGTACCCATCGGTCATCTGTTACACATTCCATAAAGTTTTGCAACTTTAAGGACCATTCATCTACCAAATCTAAAGCCCTAAGATCTAACATTGTTACAGGAAAGGAAAGAATTGCGGTATTGGACGATCACTTTGTACTCAGTTCACCGGTGTCCGTTTCCATGGTGAGGGTGTCCTGCTGGACAGGGTCATAAGTTAAGTGACCCTGAAGCTCTTCCTGTGGCCTAGCCCTGCCAGTGATGGGGTGCTAACTCTGTCGCAAGGCAACCTGGCCTATTTGCAGAGAGCTCCAGTTGGTGGCAGATGCTTATGCTTAACCTTGGATTCCAGTTACTCTTTTTAGCAACAAAATCCACTTCTTTTCTCCACTGGAAGAGTCTTCACCTCTCTGAAACCCACTTCTGTGCCTTACCTTTTTCTGGCGCCAGCATCCTAGTCCTTTTAGTGGCTCTTTGGACAAAGCAGGCCCAAGCAATCAGCGTGTCAGGGCTACAGTCCAAGGCCATCAGTGGTTTGGGGTGAGGGTTTTGCCCTCTCTTAGGTGTGGGAGGAAGAAAACACTGATCAGCATCTCTGGGGCCACTCGGGAAACAGTGGGGCTTGATAAGATTGCTCAACCCTTCCATTTTCCCGTTTGAGCTCTTTCTGTGTCAGTCTCCAGCTCTGCCTTCACTCCGAGGGAGAGGGCAGCTCGTGTAGAATGGGGGCCCATAGCTCGCGCAGCAAATAGCACGGGGCGGAAGCTCATAGATGGCTAAGTGCTCCCTGAATTTGACACAGAGCTCTCACACTTCTGGTGGCAAGCCAGTAAAACATAATCACTAATATTTGACGTGACTTTTCTCAGCTCCTTGAACAGTACACATTTGTGTTTTGTTGTGTTTCCCTCTGATTCGCAGTCTGCAGAATTACTCAATTCCAAGCTGCCCCGGTGGCAGGAAACCTGTGGTGACGCTACCAAAGTGCCTGAGAAGATCATGAATATGATCGAGGAAATAAGGACCCCGAGCTCCACCCCCGTGTCCGGGACGCCCCAGCCCTCACCGATGATCGAGAGAAGCAGCATGGTAGGGATGGGTTCTCTCCGAGATTTCAGTTGTGTGTTTACTGACCGGACTGGGGCCAAATTTGCACAAAGGATGAAGGCGTTCAGTGGTGGCAGTCACAGGTCCTTCCCTCTTCTAGGGCCTCCCTTGTCTCACCCTGATCCCCTTACCTTCAGATTTGACATTAGCTGAGCAGTGCTCAGCACTGCGTAGTGCTATGTCCAACTCTATTATCCTTGTTTTGGAAATGTTATTGTTACTGTTTTTAATTGTAAGGATTCTAACTTCATAAGTTTATCGCCAGGGAAGGAGGCATAGGTGTCTTAGAAAATAACTAGCAAAAGTCTGGTGCCATTCATCACGACATAAGGCACTTCAGAAAAAAGTAGCCACCAAAGTATGTAAGGTAATGAAATCAAACACTGTAGTTTGCCGCTCCTTGAACCTTGGCTTTATTACTTTTTGCAGACATGGAAATTTGGCTCCTGTGCATAGTTTATACACATGGGTCCACCCTAATCTCTGAAATGAAAGCAAAGATGCTAAAGGCCAGTCGACAACCTACAGAATAGATCCATAACCGCATGGGGAATAAGAGAAGGGGCTGTCAGTGGGCCAGAAACGAGTATCAAAGAGAGAAAGGCAAGATCAGTGTGTGGAGAATCAAGAGAAAAGCAAATCTCAGCCCCAAGCACCTGCAGGGCAAGACTGTAGCAGAGGGCAGAGCAGTGAGCTCAGAGCCAGTGAGTGTAAGAGAGGGCGGAGAATGGCATGTCGTGTTCCTGTATGTGGTCGGTTCTAGATGATTCACATCCTCTAAGCTGCTCAGTTTCTTCCTCCTGTCCCAACCAGTAGGCAACAGGGGCTTTTGTCCACTGGCTGAAACTGTGTTTCTGCAGAAGAGGCCAGGCACCTTCCTGGCTGTGTCTTCTCTGTCCCCACCTACCTCACTGCAGGTAGTCTGCAATAACGAAAGTAGGCGGTATACAGACTAGGATAAATAGGCAAAAGAATAGGCAATGCTGTACAATACAGAGATGGACAGATAACCAGGAATCCCTGAACAAGTGAGGAAAACCAATATCATGAAAAGACACACTGAAAGAAGAAACGGGAGTAACCAATATTGGAGGCAATAGAGGCAGTAGGGCAGAGGAGAAATCTTAAAGAAATGAAAAGATACTATGTCCCCAGAGGAGAATCAGCTAAATATTTTGGAAGTTAAAAATGGATTATTATTCACAATTGAAATGTCTGGGATTTGCTCCAGCATATTCCAGGCACAAGGGAAGATGGGTGTAGCATATACGAAACAATATTGGCCATGAATTCTTAATTGTTGGAGCTGGGTGTTGGGTACAGGGAGATTTATTGTGCTGTTCTTTCTCCTTTATACATTCTTGAAATTTTTCTAAAATAGCTTTTTAAAATTTTCCTTCCCCTTCCCCCCCCTTCCACAAAGAACATAAAACAAGAAAACCTCCACACCAATGGATGGGCTCATTAACGGAATGGAACTGCTTGGGAAATTAATCCAAAGAGCTCTCCCAAAACACAGAACAAAAACAGAGAGAGGATATAAACATAACGTTAGACAGATTGGAGATACCCAATTGCCTTCTCACAATCATCTCCAGATGTCTAATGGGGATCTCAAACTCAACTTGTCTAAAACCAGATGACTGATTTTCTTACTCTAAACAGGCTCCTCTAGTCTTCCCCATCCAGAAGATGGCAGCTCCATCCTTCCAGTAGCTTGGGCACAAATGTGGACTTCTCTCCCTCTCTCTCCCCACTCCCTGCCTCCTCCCCCGACCCCACAGCCAAACCCTGGGCATGTCCTGTTATTTCCACCTTCACAGCATATCCAAGTCCAGCCACTTCTCACCCCTCCACTGCCCTGACTATGGTCCTTGCAGAGATTACTGTAGTTGACTCTGCCTCGTCTTTAACACAGCAGCCACAGTGAGCCTGGACAAATGGGAAAAAAACAAAACCTTAAGAGATTGTGGTCAAGTTGCAGAAGAGGCTAGAGAGAAATTTCTAAAAACTTCCAGAGAGGGGGGAAAAATAGATTAACTTAGAAAAGAGAACACCACTGGTACCAGATTTCTTTTTATCAAAACAAGATGTTAGAAATCAGTGGAGCAATGCACTCAAAATTCCTTAGAAAAGTTATTTTAAACATAGAATCCTAGGGCACCTGGTGGCTCAGTTGGTTAAGTATCTGCCATCAGCTCAGGTCATGATCCCAGGGTCCTGCTTCACAGGGAGTCTGCTTATCTCTCTGCTCTGCCTCCCACTCATTCTCTCAATCTCTCTCTCTCAAATAAATAAATAAAATCTTCTTTAAAAGATGGATGAATGTAGAATCCTGTAGCTAAGAAGCACCTAAGAGGGAACCTAAAATCCATAGAGACAGAAAGTAAATTAGTGGCTGCTAGGAGGTGGTAGGAAATGGGGAGTAATTGCCTTTAAAAAAAAAAAAAAGAAGACAAAAATGAAAAAAAGAATGTGATATTCTTGAAATAATAATTCAGAATGGGGCATTGCCATCCAACCAAGAGAACTTTGGGAAGAAAGTGGAATTTAAAGCATGTTAAAATAGTCCTGGGAATCTCTATAATTCCATCGCTGTGTTAACACTAATATTAAACTAATGAGGAATTTTTCACAGGTTGGGAAAGATTATGACACTCTTTCTAAATATTCACCAAAAGTGCCCCCAGCTCCTTCAGCCAGAGCGTATACTAGTCCTTTGATCGATATGTTTAATAACCCAGCAACAGTTGGACAGAATTCAGAAAAGATAAAGAATTCAACAGGTAAGATATTTATTTTGATTTCTTTTAAAATACCTTTTAGGGGTGTCTGAGTAGCGCACGCAGTTGGGCATCCGACCCTTGGTTTTGGGTCGTGATCTCGGGGTCGTGGGATTGAGCCCCCAGTCATTCTCTGGGCTCAGTGGGAAGTTGGCTTGAGATTCTTTCCCTCTGCCCCTCCCTCTGTTTGCATCCCCCCGTCCCAAATAAAGTCTATAAAATTAGCTTGATAAAAATAAATAAAGCACCTTTTTAAACTTTTTTAATATTTTGGATAAATGTTACCCTGAGGTAGAGGTAAATAAACATATGTGGTAGCACACATTTAACATTGCCTTGTTGAAAAAAAAATTTTTAAGATTTTATTTATTTATTTGACAGAGATCACAAGTAGGCAGAGAGGCAGGCAGAGAGCAGGGTGGGGGAAGCAGTCCCCCTGCTGAGCAGAGCGCCTGATGTGGGGCTCGGTCCCAGGACCCTGGGATCATGACCTGAGCCACCCAGGAAACCCCCCCCAATTTTTTTTTTCTTGAAGATTTTGTTTATTTGAGAGAGCATGAGCAGGGAGGAGGGGCAGAGGGAGAGGGAGCCTGATGCGGGGCTCAATCCCAGGACCCCAGGATCATGACCTGAGCTAAAGGCAGAAGTTTAACCAACTAAGCCACCCAGGCACCTCTGCCTTATTGAAACTTACACTTCAAAGTAAATAAAGGTCTGGGTTTATTATAAAACCATAAGACATTTTATAAGTGACACATTTCTTCGACAAATTCTAATTCCATGTACTGACTGATGTTTATATGAAGGAAACTTACTATGGAAAGTTGTTACATTTTAAAATGGGATATAATGTACAAAGAACCTCGTATCGTGTGCCACATTTGGTGGCAATTGTAATGAAATTTCTTTTTCAATACTATAAAAGTTCACGTGACAAAATTATGGTTATTTATCTTACCAGTAAGCTTAGTATTTTTCATCATGTGAAACAGAGAACTTCATGCTTTCTGCACACTTAAGTTCCAACTGCTTAAATTTCTTAACTCTGTTGATGCTTTTTCAATAAATCAGGATAAGTTACTGTTTGCAGAGATTTCGGAGCTTTGCTTAGGCTCCACTCTGTGTAGACAGAGTCTGGCACCCAGAGACCCCTCTCTGTGTGGGGTATCTCACGGGCCTCTAAGGCATGAAAGTCATGGCAATCGAACCAGATCAAGCCGCGTGCTAGAGAGAGCCCACAGACTGCAGCATTTGTAGCTGCTGAGTGAGATCAGAGAGGAGAGTTTCAGGAGAGCAATTTTGTTTCTTTGGAGTGGTCAGTATCAGCTGGTGTGGGAACTTAGACCCAAAGGTATAGCAAGGCACTCTTCACATGGTGCAGTGACTGTGGAGTCAGGCCACCCACACCCCATGCTGGCCTGCTAGCTGGGATCCTGGTGAGTCACTGCAGACGGTACCCGATAGCTGCGCCTTCCCTTAGAAGCCGTGAAGCATTAAGAGTGTGGACTGGCACTTAGGGAGGGTTCCATAAACGTGCTGGTCCCTGCTGCATTTGCAGGTGAGATGTTGAGCAGTTGCACAGTGAGAACATTTCCAGTCTCCTCTTGTTCTTAGTGGGATTTGCATTGATGCCCTACGCTGCCTTGGGGTTCATGTTGGGAGAGTAGGGCAAGGAAAGCATCGGACCCTCTAGTGATGCGTCATTTTGCCTCTGATTAAATCAGAGTGCAGGTGAAGCTTGGCACGCACTGTATCCTCTCCACCTGGAAAAGAGCATTTAGCCCCAAGGGTCCTCCTTGGTGGGGGACCTCAGGCTGCGGTTCTGCCTCAGTTCCTCGTGGTCCCTGTCCATCCAGGCAAAGTCAAAGGTGTGGAAATACAGCACACGCGGAGCAGCAGCAGGAGTGCTGGCAGGCGAGAGTGGGTGGCTTTTCTGGGGTTTGTTTGAACTTGTTATAAAGTCCTTGAAAGGTGACCACTGCTGTGCTCATTTTCACCAGATTCTTCAGATGATCCCAGTTTACAGCGATCAGTTTCTGTTGCAACTGGACTGAACATGATGCAAAAGCAGAAAGTAAAAACCATTTTTCCACACACCGCCGGCTCCAACCAGACCTTGCTCAGCTTCGCCCAGGGAGACATCCTCACGCTGCTTGTCCCTGAGGAGAAGGACGGCTGGCTTTATGGAGAGCATGACACCACCAAAGTGTAAGTCGCAGGACAGATGCTGTCCCCACAGCGGTCGGTCAGGGCTGCCCAGGGCTTCAGAGAACTGTCATGTCTCCTTTCAGTGGCAACTTGTCTGTGTGGTCACAGGAGCATTTTTACCAAAGTTAGGTTCATGATTTAGTTATGCTTCTAGTTTACTTCATTGCAGTTACTCTGTCCCAGGCTATTTTCTGTATGTGTTTGTGTGTCTGTGCATATATAGATGAATTTGATACTTGAACAGGTCATATGAAGTCACCTCTGAAAGTAGTTTAAATAATTCTTGTTTAAAAAAAAAAACTTTGGATTTCTCAAAGATAATCTGCACATCATGTGGATTTTGTTAAGATTTAGCTCATAAATAGTTTAAATGCCAGCATCGTCATTTCAGCCATGAGTATGTGCATAGGCCTTACTCTAAGCTGGTTAAATTGGTTTTCTGGGTAGATTATTCGGCTATTAAATAAATGTGGAAAAAAGCCAAAAAAGTAATCCAAATGAAACTAATGCTCTATATAAAATGCACATTGTGTGATGTGGTGAAAATGGACTGGTCTGCCCCTGAGCTATGTCTGAGCTGTTCTATTCCCTGCTTATCCTTCACTTGTCAGCTGCTCACCCCACAATCAGGCCTTTTTTTTTTCCTTCCTCACCTGTAGGAGGGGCTGGTTCCCAGCATCCTACACAAAGTTGCTGGAAGAAGATGCAAAGGAGGCCATGAGCGTGCCCATACCAAGGTAGGACCTGACTGTGGCTCCTGTTTCCCAGTGACAAAAACTCACCTTTGATCTCGTGTTTCTGGGCATATCAGAATTCTATCTAGATTGTGTAGTAGCCCCACAGGGAGACCTCTAGTCATGTAGGAGAGTACAAAAGGAGGACTGTTACCCCACAGCTCTTCCCTTTGTGGTTTCTGCTGTGGGGACATGCTCCCAGATTTTGCTCCTCACCCTCCTGTCGGCCCTCTGGAACCACCCTCTGCCTCCCCAACCCCCACCCCCCACCAACTCACTAAATCCAAGGTGAGCGTCATCGCCATTACTGCTTAGGAAGTGCCAAATTGCCTTACGCTGACTATCTTGTTTAATTCTTATAACAACCTTATGAGGTAGGTCCCCACTTTAAAATTGAGGACACTGAGGCACAGAAAGATGGAGCCAAGGCTGGCACCCAGGAAGGTCTTTTCCACGCCTAGCTATGAATATTTATATGTGTGTCAGCCGCTGAAGTTGGTTACCCTGTGGGTCCTCAGAAGTGACACATCCAGGGGCACCTGGGTGGCTCAGTCGGTCAAGCGTCTAATTCTTGATTTCAACTGAGGTCACGATCTCGGGGTCATGAGATCCAGCCCCAAGTCGGGCTCCCTGCAGGGCATGGCGTCTGCTTAGGGCTCTCGCTCTCGCTCTCCCCCTTCCCCTCCCCCCGCTCCTCTCCCCTCTACCCTTCCTGCCACAAGAAGGAAAGAAAGAAATGACACATCCACACTGCACTTCTCATCTTTACGCTAAACTGCCTTGTCCTCAGTGTTTCCCATCTCAAACCCTCTAACCCATCCAGCTGTCCCTGCAGACCTTCGAGCACCACACTGGATGCCCCCTCCAAGTCCTGCTGTGTGTCATCATCCCTGGCAGAACAGCTCACGTGCCACCAGGCCAAGGAGTGAAAACTGCATTTTGTATTTATGATGTCAAAATGCTGAGGGTTCTTTTTGGGGTTTTGTTTGGTTTTGTTTTGTTTTTCGAGTCTGAAATGCTCAATGCTTTGCTAAGGCTTTTGCTATAGTCTTCATTTTCTTACTGATCTTAAACTAATCAAGAGCCAGTTCTTAATTCAGTTTCTTTGAGCGTACGTTTATAAGCCAGTAAACACTTCACGGTATCTTTCTTGTAGCATATTGTGTGCGCTCACGCAGGTCTCGTCCTCCCCTCTCTCACGCCCTGTCTGATTGTTCATCTACTGTAGTTCTGGCCCTGGGATATTTAGGATGTTTGAGATTCAGGTGGCAGGATCTAATGTAACTTGTATTCTCTGCTCGTTGGTCGGTAGCCCGGCCCCGGTGAGAAGCATCAGCACCGTGAACTTATCTGAGAAAAGCAGTGTCGTCATCCCCCCACCTGATTACTTGGAATGTTTGTCCTTGGGAGCGGCTGCAGATAAGAGAGCAGATGTTTCCAAAAGTATCTCTACCTTTAAAGCACCGGTGTCCAAGCCAGAAGCCACATCTCCTGTGAGTGAAGCTGCGGGGTAACATGCCGTGTACCCCGACCGTGAACGGCGGTGGTGTCCCTGGGATGGGGTGGGGGCTGGCACTCTCTCCTGTCTCTTCTCTCCCACCCTCTCACACGGCCGTTCAGCTTCCTGAACTTAAGTCCTGGTGTTTGTTATTTTATCTGTAAATGTAGTTCCTCTGATGGTATCAGGTATATTCTCTCCTCGCCTTTAGTCCTAGCGGCAGTCTGTCAGTCTCCTCACCACTTTTTCTGTATTTTCTGCAATTTTCATGCCATTTCCCGAAGGAAGACTTTAGGGTAAAAGTGGTAACTTTATCTTTGTTGTCTTCAGAAAGTGCTTACTTTGTACCAGGTACTGGGTAAACAGCGTATCATGTACACTCTCTGTAATCCTAAATAACCCCGTAAGAAAGACCGTAGGGGCCAAGGGCTCCCAGAGTCCCTTCATTCCTGTGGCACCTGGTCTGCTGAGCATGGGTCCCTGGTGTTGGCTTTCAAGGTATAGAGGTACACAGGACCAGTTTGGGGCTCTTTTGGAACTTATAGTCTAGTGGCGGGAAGCAGACGATGAGAAATAACAGTTACCAGAGATGGAAGCTGTGCAGAGAATTAAAACAAGGTGAGATGACAGCGGGTTGGGGCGACAGCTCACAGGGATGTCACCGGTGTGTGTGCAGGTGCTTATGAAGGGGAGCAGCATTTGGGGAGGGGGTGGCGTGGAGCTGGACCGTGAGGGGAGACAGGCCTTGGTCACTGGCATCCCGGGCAAGAGAGCTTTAGCCGGGGTGACTTCCCAGAGGGCCTGCACAGCCCAGGGCAGCGCTCCCTGCGTTTTCCTATTGATCCGGGCAGCACACGACTGTGTCTGCACCCCTGAGGAGGGGACATTGAAACTGAGACCTGAATGGCAAGGAGTCCATCATGTAGAGGTCAAAGGGAGGAGATTCCCTGACGCAGGGAGCAGAGGAGGGCACGTACTTGGCCCACTCATAGATTCCGAGATGACAGAGAATTGAGGAAGTGGGGGGTCCATGTTCTCTTTTTTTTCTCAGGATAGGTTCTACTGTCAAGAAGGGGAAGGATGGAGGAGAGGACAGTGACTGGGAGGGTGAGAAGAGCACACACAGTGTGTGGGGCCGGGAGCAGGGAAGGCAGTGAGCAAGAAGCCGTGGGCGCGGGCAGAGGTGCGCACAGACTGGGCAGTTCCTGCTTGAGGATGGCGACTCGGTGGGGAAGCGAGGGCATCAGTGGGGCGGGTGGGCGGAGCGAGCAAGTGTAAAGAAAGCGAATCCGTGAAACAGGTGTTCTGAAGAGTGAGAACACGTGTGTGCTACAGAATATGGGGACTGCGGGGGTAATGCTGATACCCATTTACGGTTTGGGATCATGATTGAAAACGAAGCCAGACAGTGTGGTGGTTCCTCCAATATGTAGCTGCTCGGGCTCCGCCGAGAAGTACTGAACCGGTCGGGGGTTACCAGGTGGTAGTGCTGGGGGAGGAGCAGGGAGTTCCTGGTGTTTGCACGGGTAGGGTTGGGGTGTCCCACACCCTGGCATTCAGACGGGACCATGAACAGATCTGGAGGGTGTGGGAAGGGAGGCATGGTGGGGTGTGCGAACCTCTGTGAGGCTGCACGGTGGCCAGAGTGCGGTGGGAAGGAGCCTAGGAGCTGAGGGTCAGAGAGTGGACTAGACTTCCGGGGGCTGTGCCGCTGAGCGTAGTGCCCGGGGCTGCACGTCGGCCAGACGGCCCCAGAGCCTGCCTCACCTGTGCTTTCGGCAGCTTCCTCCCAGAAATAACCCTGGGTTCTATGGGCGGTCCGCAGGCAGTTGGTGCATTGATACCGGCTACTCTTTTATTTTATGGCCATTGTATGGTCCTTTCTGTAGTACAGGGAGAGGCATCTCCCTGCTTCTCATGGGATGCGTGGCTCCACAGCTCTGCCCCATCGTCAGTGCTACTGGTGGCCTTTGTTCAGCTGGGAACCGTGTATGGGTGTGGTCTCTGGAAACACGCACATGGAATGGGAACTCGTAAAATATGCCTTGCATTTCGTTGTGAGCCTTCAGGTGTTTTGGAATATGCCTACCTCATCATAAACTGCAGTGGTGCGTTCTGACCTGGGAAATGCAAGGTTTTTTAGTCTCACTCAAAAATGTCTTTGGCTCAGGGCACCTGGGTGACTCAGTAAGTCAAGTGTCTGCCTTCAGCTCAGGTCCTGATCCCGGGGTCCTAGGATCGAGCCCCGTGTAGGGCTCTGCACTCAATAGAGAATCTGCTCCTCTCCCTCTGTGATCTCTCAACGCCTTTGGCTTCTCAGATAAGCAACTATATGATACATTGTTTATTCCTTTATCGTTCCAAGTTATTCCAGATACGTAACAATTATTTTCAAGAGAATGACACACAGCTGTTGAAAATGGAGCTTTTCCATTCTGTCATCATGGAAGAGAAATTGCTTGGATGGACAAAGATACCAAATGCTATTTTATTAAATGCCCTAGAACATTTTAAAACGATATTCAGACTCTTTGGAACTGATCTTAAGACATTTTTAAAAAGCAAAAATTCCTTTTGCTGGGATGGGAAAAAAAAAAATCCTTAAAACTGCCTGTCTCACAGCTCAGGATCCAGGAATATGAGGTATTCCATTCTGGGGTGACCTGTCTATAGAGCCTTCTCCTGTTTTTGTTTGATTTCCAGCTTTTTTTTTTAAGGGAAAAATTCAAACATAATAAAAGGTGGAAAGAACAAAGCCTTTTTTTTTTTTTTTTTAAAGATTTACTTGAGAGAGAGCACACATGTATGTGCATACAATCAGGGGAGGGGCAGAGGGAGAGGGAGAGAGGATCCCAAGCAGACTCCAAGTTGAGCACGGAGCCTGAGGTGGGGCTTGATCCCACAACCCATGAGATCATGGTCTGAGCTGAACCAAGAGTTGGATGCCTGACTATGCCACCCGGGTGCCCCCCAAGTCTTTTTTCATCTTGCCCCTGGCCGCACCCAGATCAATTTGATGCTAATTCCAAACTTCGTTAGTTCATGTCTAAATACCTTAAATATAATAACACCTTTTATTTTTACATGACCAAAACACCAATTATCATAGCTTTAGAAATTGGCAGTAATTCTTCAGTATCATCAATCCGTCACTTCAAATTTCTGATTATCTTATTAAAAATTGAACAGTATCGTTCGAATCTGGATCCAGGCCAGCTCCATACATTGCAGTTGGTCACTGAGTCTCATGACGAGTGTTTTTTAATCTAAGGTCTCCCCTTTCTTTTTCCTCCTAACTGATCTGGGCGAACCAGATTATTGGCCCTGGAGGGTGGCCCCAGGCTGGATTTCGCTAAATGCATCCACCTGGGGTCCTTTAGCACATTCCCCGTTCTCCTGTGTCCTCCACCTGGATCGGAGTCAGTGTTACTGTTTTCTTTCTTTGCCGGTTTTGTTGGTTTTGTTAGAGCATTTCATCGGTGGTGGTAGCAAGTCCATCCAGAGGGACACACCTGTCTGGTTATCTCTTCTTTTGTGATATTAGCAGCTTCGATGATAACCACCTCATTCCATTACTTTAAGGTTGTGTATTTTAAGATAAAAGAATCTTGCCCCAAGTCATCATTAATACTGAAATTATAAGTGAAAACACTGACACTTTAGGGCACCTGGGTGGCTCAGTCAGTTAGAGGTCTGCCTTTGGCTCAGGTCATGACCCCAGGGTCCTGGGATCGAGTCCTGCATCAGGCTCCCTGCTCAGCAGGGAGTCTGCTTCTCCCTCTCCCTTCGCCTTCTACTCCCCCTGCTTCTGGGCTCACTTGCTTGCTCGCTTTGTCAAATAAATAAAATCTCTAAAAACACACACACACAAATTTTAGCCAACACAGTCTCATTTTAAAGAACAGTTTAATTTTCAGTATTTTTACCGTATTGGTAAAGCTTTATGACGGAAGCATTGATACAGTTCTTACTATACTGAATTGGATACATTGAAAAATCCTATGTATTAGTATATTCAAAAATTATATTATTTAGCATTTGGCAGTTTATTTTAAATTTATTTTTAAATTTTATTTTTAAACCACTTTGGCTGGATCAGAATAGACTGGCCATGTCAGGGGGCTGCCCCGCAAGTGCTGAGACTATCGAGTAAACTGAGGGTTTGGGGCAGAGTGCAGCTTTGGGCATGTAACTTTCTCCTGAGGGCTGGGATGGCGCTGCTGCAGGGGGTGGGCCTGTGTCTCTGGCCACCTCGTGGAAGCTGCTGCCCTTCCCGCCTCAACCTGGGTGCAGGAGTCCTTGGCTCACTTCCCGAGTGCACCTGGTCCTCGGTGTCCCAGGGCTGCCTCCAGAGAAAGCTCCACACCCCAGGCCCCCTCTCCCCAACACAGACCACTTTCACTAACGAGTAATCTATAGTCTCCTCACAGAGCGCAGACCTGATGGCTTCACTGGTGAGTTCTGCTCTACATGCAAAGAATAGCTAACACCAGCCTTCTCAAAGTTCTGCCCAAAAATCAAAGAGGGGACACTTCCTAACTCATTCTGAGGCCAGTGTCACCCTGATACTCTCTGGTCAGGCCCATTTCTGTCTTTAGGCTAGAAGACTTTCGTCTTTCCATTTTAGCAGCCTTTAATGTTTGGTTTCATATAACATTTAAAAGCCCAAATATCTAATGAAAATGCCCTTCTTTTGTGGATTCCAGTGTGATTTTAGTTGTCATTGATTTTGTGAGTGTCAGAACAATGAATGTTGATGAACTCTTTTCTTAATAATTGAGACCTTCTGTTAAGAAGGCATGTTCAGCATGGGACGCCTGGGTGGCTCAGTCATTAAGCGTCTGCCTTCAGCTCAGGTCATGATCCCAGGGTCCTGGGATCGAGTCCCACATCGGGCTCCCTGCTCAGCAGGAGGCCTGCTTCTCCCTTTTCCATTTGGCCTCCTTATGTTCCCTCTCTCGCTCTATCTCTCTGTCAAATAAATGAAATCTTTAA